TTTTTTTTTGTATATTAGGAGATTATTGCAACATATACTAGATAAATATTAAATATAAACTCAATATATAGTGCTCTTTAACAGACATGAAAATTTATACATGTCTTTTAAACTCAACATAATCATGTCCTTTGTTTTAGGAAGAAGGTGAAATTTAAACTCAATATGATGTCCTTTGTTTTATATTAAATATAAACTCAAAATATATATATATCCGAGATTATGTTACATATTCCTAAAATGTACATATATTGAACATATACTGCATATATACTCTACATATACTAAAAACATATAATAAAATAGAGAATCGTGGCAAAAACTTCACAACATCTTAAGAAAACAATCAACTTAAACAAGATTTGAAAACCCAACAAAATGCACACCCTATCAACCGGCAAGAATCAAATTAGAGAATCACGAACGTGAGAAATGAAACCATATATATATCCAACAATCAACGCCAATTCATTACATGATTTTTTTTTTAATAATTGCAGAAAGATTATCAAGGTTGACAATGTGGTTCTTCGGCGACGAGTTTGAATTGCAAAAAATAATAAGCAAATATAATTAAACCTATTAAATACTAATGAGACAATTTTTGCTCAGAAGAACGTGTGTCGTACTCCCATCCTCATACGATTTTTGGTAAGAAGAATTTGATCGCACCTGCGATCAAATCGGGCATCAGGTTCATGTGGCACTCTTTACGTGGCTGATGGAGTAGACCTCGATGAAGGCCCAATCGTCGTGGGATGGTCATGGGTGGATAGGGTTTGCAGAATTTTTTCTTAAAAATTAGATGAAGGCGAAGGCAGGTCGGTGGTGGAGTACATGCCCGACGGTGGTGAACGAGTCATCGCCGGAGAAATTGAAGGCGGAGTCGGATGGGTGGTAGCCTCCGCCATGCTTGGATCGGGCCTAGTGTTGTAGCTCCCGCACGGCGATCTTCTTAGGCCGGTGAAGGCTGACGAGGAAGGAAATTTAAAAAGAAAAATCATGCACAAGGTTTGGAGGGCTGTCAGGAAAGAAGAAGAAGAAGAAGAAGAAGAAGAAGAAGAAGAAGAAGAAGAAGAAGAAGAAGAAGAAGAAGAAGAAGAAGAAGAAGAAGAAGAAGAAGAAGAAGAAGAAGAAAAGATGGGAAGATTAGAAGAAAAATAATTATTAGGAAATAAATTTTGTCTAATTTACAATAAAGATTGTGATCAGTTATGGAAAATGGTTGGATAATGCTCCATGATATCCGTGTTTACCTAACAACCCAAATTTAAGATTCTAGCATATTTGAAAATAAAAATAACACTTTGAGCAATTTTACTAATATTTATGTGTTAGATACATTATTGCAAATAAAAGTAAATAATAAAGTGGAGGACATAATTTTCCCTTATATCAATTATCTCCAACGGTTACATGATGATGTAACGGTTATAAACTCCGAGGAAATAGTTCCGTAATGAGACCGTATTATAAAAATGAATGGAAAGAAAATGCTTTCTCCTACCATGGGCAATCACGTGAATAAATCATTAAACAATTTGGCCCTTGAGAAAGCCCAAAGGCCAATATTCACGTCCACTGCACCTGCATTGGATTGATTGAAATTTCCGTTGATTGAAACACACATGGCAAAACAACTCATAATTGTTGCATAACCGTAGGCTTAAAGCTCATGGAATATTCCAGAAAGATGATATAACTAACTAATTTTATCCACAATGTTGTCACAATCACACACATATTATTCATCCAATGAAAAAAAAAAAAAAA